CTTCACTTCAGCCTCTTTCTCCTCTTCCTCTTCCAATCTCACTCCCTCTACCTCTGGTTTTGTTTCTTTTTGTTGTTCTTTGTTAATTTCTTTTGCTCCGCCGTCTATTTCTTCTTCGGTTGCTTCATTTTCCACTGTTTCTGGTACTTTTATTTCACCTATTTTTTGGAGTGTTGCTGCTGTCTCTGTTTCTTCATTTTCGTCCATTCTTTCGTGCTCCGCGGCGTATGCCGTCTGTTGGGTTGTTTCTTTTGCTACATTTATGACTTGTTCGTCTATTTTTGACGTTGTTTTGGGCTCTTTGTTCTCAACACCTTCGGCCTTTAGCCCTGGCGCTTCTTCCTCCCTATCTGCTAATGTCTGCTTACTTACCTCCTCCGTTAACTCTCTAAGAGGATAATATTTATTTTTATCTTCTGGAACAGACTCATCCTTTACTGGCCTCCGTGCGTCCTCAACCGTTTGCTCTCTGTCGTAACCTGCTGCTTTTGAAAAATGTGGTTTTGGCAAGCATTAGCGCATATGTTAGGCGAAACGCAATGCAATTAAATCACAGCGTGTGCATGCCAAAGCGGGATTTTAGTTTGCGTTGTTTACGTGTTAGAAACAAGAATAGGGTATGGGAAGATTTTGGGGTTGGGATGGGATTTGGGAATTTGAGAAAAAAGGGCTCGGGTAAGACAATTGTGGAAGTAAAAACGAATTATTGTCTTTATGTGCACTTAATATTAACTTTTTATAATGCTTCTTAACAAACGGGCTTTATATAATGCCCGCCTACCTATGGAGCATGCAAGCGTCAACCCTCTGATGTGCCTATAGACGAGTTTGTACATGCGGCTGTCCAACTGCCTTTTGCAGCAGGTTCTTTGCTCCGAGACAAGTCTATTTGCATATGCGCCCATCTTTAGTTCGCCATGGATCAAACGAGAGGTGAGACAGGGACTCCTACAACTGGCCCTTCAAGGTCATCTGGAAGGTCCCCTTTCGAAGTCTGTAACTGATTGCATCGTTCTCGGCACACAGCTGCAACCCAGACTTCAATTACGACCAGGCCCCGGAAACGAATACCAAGCAAGGATTTTTTACCACATTACAGGGAAAGGACGAAGACTTATCCCAAAGAAGTGACGAGCAGAGTTGCAATAGACGACGACAGACGATAAGTATACCTTAAACCGGCATTCCACACACCTGCCGAATATCGCATTTTGGAAAATGCAAAAATATCCCTGAACTAACATCAAACAACTCATTGGGTTCGACCGTTCTTATTCGTTTCCAACAGTGCATTTTGTGCTCGAAGGGCTTACTATACAGGAAAGGTGAATTTCCCATATGAAGCATAGAATACTAGAAGGGAACTAACATCAAAAACTTTTGGAGAGCTAATATCTCACAGCTCTAACCGAACAGTTTATAAATGCTCAAAAATCCAGTTAAGCAATCACGGTCTTTCCACGGGGTGTAAACAGCAAGCTGAAGCTACGAATCGCCCCTCCGAAAGGTCTGCTTGCGTTCCAGTGTTCCTACACTGAGTTGCCGTTCGGTCGGGCCGGCGTAATAGCCAAGACAGTTGCGGCAGGGAATTTAATCAACTGCGCCAGACCAGTTTAGTCGGTCCTTCATCCGCATGATCCCTCTACCTGCTCTGATCGTCGGACAAAAGGCTATAACCTAGCCAGACTCTGTGAGCATAGAAACTTGTGTACCTATGGGATCACTGGGATGCAAACTGCACCAGCGCTCTCTGCGTGCGCTCACATGATATGAGCTGGAGAGAGCCACCATCGTGTTTTGATCTTTCCTACTGTATATGAAGAATTAGTCAGACGAAGCAGAAAGCGTAACCGATCTTCCGACAGCTACTGGGGGGGTAGGAATGCCCTTCCCTTGGGTTCTACAGATCGTTATGCGCAGAACTGGTGGTCAATATTTCCGCTGCCTCACCCTAACATTACAGCTCAACCTAACTTTAACCCCAATTCTAACATTATCATTAACCCTAATTTCCTCAGCGCAAGATCTCGGAACAGGAGGGGTTCCTATTCCTGTACTTGTCAACGTTTATTAACCAAGACTGACCGGGAGACACAGGCTATTCATCCAGCCAACATTTTTTTCATGAGGAAAAGAATCGCACCGCCAACTGCCTATGCTTTCCGAATTCGCGCAGAATGAGCTACCACTAACCTTTCGCAAATATACCCGCGAGCTGGGCATATCTATGTATAGAAGTAGATAGGAGTAGAGTATCTCCAGCTGACGACGGCAAATAAGCCAGCAAAGGCCTTCCTGGAGTCTATGGCTTAACGGTATCCTCTGTTTTCTGACTCGTTTGCGGTCTACGGTTAACCGAGTGCCAAATGACAGGATTCAGAGCATGGATGTTCTGGAAACCATTGAGACACGAAAAGACGCGACGTTAGTTGAAGTTTCT